CCATGTGTTACATACAATGCATTGTAGATTACTGAAGTTTGCTAGTATTTGAAACAAGACCATAAACAAGGTATACATCAGTGAGATGTCATGATGTCATACTATTTTATGTTAAAGCTCTAGTGTCAAACCATCTTATGTTAAAACTCAAGAATACAACTACTGCACGGAAGAATTATTATACTGTGAAATTCCTTTGAAATAATTTTTCATACAGTATAATTCAATATTCATTTTCATTAACCGGAATAAGACAGTGACTGGTGCTCTCGCACTTTAAATTGTAACTAGTCTATTTAAATGGCATGCCTCTCTTATCCTGACTGTAACTTCTTCATTGCTCTAATTCATGCAACAATATTTCAAATAAATACACTGCACGTGATAAACGTATTGTTTATAGATGCATTAAGACAAAAAAAAACGGTGCTCAAGTGTGACTTAATTAGTAATTAGGGCACTTGATTGCCGTGACCTACTTTTCAACAATGGCATATTTTTTGGTCATTTTTTTTCTAATAAAGGTTTTGAAATATATCATCAAATGACATTTAAGAGAAAAAAACTAAAAAAAATATTGCGGTTTGATAATTATTGCAATAATTATGAATTTGATCCCCACTCGTCCCCCTATAATAACTGAACAGCCTTGAGCTGACCTTAGATAGATTACTTACAACATCTAGTGTTAGTGTCTTGCTTGATACATATGGCGGTGTACATTGGTGTGATGGAACTCACAAGGAGGTTAAGATTTCGGAAAAAAAGGCACTCAACATACGCATTCGCCTAGCGGTCTCCAAACTGACCATGTAATTAAAAGAAATCTTTCATGTCCATATATGAAACAGCAAATGTTTCGTTTTCATAATACTTTATACCTCAATAATAATGATTTTCTGGTAAACATGTCTATGAAAATGCGGATTTTTAATTTATATCTTGCCCAGATTGCATCATGGTGCATGAAATACATACGACCTGTCAAACAGCTTTGTTTTTAATTTGTACATGTATTTTCTTTCAAGGTTTCCACGGTAATGCTATAAAATCAAATTAGCCGAGAGAGGAAATTTAACCGTGGTCGATACATATGTCAACAAAATAGAAAGAGAAGTGACCTATCCTAATGCTTTCTGAAGTTTTATTTTATCATTATTATTATTGGAGGATTTGAAAAGAACCGTGCAACTTGACAATACCTCCCTAAACCAAAATAAGAACACAAGACTGATTTACAAGGAGCAAAGTTAAATAAGACCACTCGTTCCGGAAGTGTAATCGTCTCCTGCTCCGTCGATGATACTCACCACAAAATGTGTGATATATGTCGAATGCATTTTAATATTCTACCAAAAGTTGCTAACAAATACAACGAGCGAAAATGTGATTTAGACATACAAATAAGTCATTATCAATATCTTTAGAATGAATCCCCCATTAGAATAACAGCCCCATATGTCGCTTAAAAATTTTATTTTCATCCCATACATCCATTGTCCATTTCAATTAAATCCTGAAAACACCTCTGCTGTTGGGCGAATTACAATGGCTTTTGTAACACTGCCGTATTATCAACCCCCTCTTTCATTACATCTACCGTTATTACAGCGAACATCTGCTGCTACAGATCTGGACTGGAGTAAGAGATAATGTTGTCAATCTAGCTATTGATTTGGAATCAAAACACAACTAGTAGTAGCTACAGTTCACGACTTCGCCAGTATAACATTGGAAGTCTTGGGAGGTAACCTACCCTGACAACAAAGTATTACCATGAAGATTTCTACACGGATCTGTATTGTGGTGTTAACCGTTAACGTTCTATTGATGATATATTCGTTTTTTAACTATAAGACTATCCTAATACAAAGTAAGTACACAAACGTACCGGAGAAGTAAGTTTTTTGATAGACAGATTTTTATGGAATCGGAATCAGAAAAAAAATCATCTTTTCATTTTCATCGTTTTTATTTTTCATTTCGGTTTCACGTTTCACTATCCTTTGATCGTCTTAAAATTGAAATGCTGTGTATGCATGTGTATTTAGTTATTTGAAAACTATCTTTACTTTAAACTTTTGAGACTGAAATAAAGATCAAATAAAAAATTAGATTGTGGTATAATACTTTAGCTTCAATCAATTTATCAAATCGGGTGATGAACTAGGCGTAATTTGAATTTCATTTATTGTGATGTTAAAATCGTTCAGTTATCAAAGATACATTCACCATGTGTTTACCATCATTGTTTTAAACAACAATGAAAATACCGAGATATTCAATTATACATAATGAAACACAATGTCAATAAAAGTAGGACAAAAGGGAATGAAAACAGATGTTCCGGAAGAGTAAGCGTCTTCTGCATAATATGATTTTAATTCTACATGACAGCTCATTATAATGATATGTTTTTGTTGCCTTCGAATGATGACAATGTTCAGAATATAGTCATTGTCACCATATATTTGAAATTAACAAATTTGATTGAACTTTTTTCTATCATTTTTGAGTTTCCTCAATGACACATAGATTCCACGATTCAGAAGGTTAGCATCGCTGATAAGTCCTGGAAGAATGAAACAGCATTATGATGGAGTTTTTCTCTACTGTATCTAATTCTATGTCTTTATTGAATTGTGCCATTCATTTGTATGTCCATCTTGTACAATTCTCTAGACACGCTAATCTCTTACGTCATCCTGCATGACACGATCTACAAACATCAGGTAAGGTATGTTTATAAAACTAGGCATATCCTCTGTACTATTCAATAATTTTGTACGGTGTGCCTTTCTATTTGAGAAGGAACTGTATTCAAGGCTCTTAATACAAGTAAATAAATGTTTTTTTTTCAATGTCACAATCGTCATTTTCAATTCTTGTATTTCTGACCGTATGTTAAAAGAAAGGAAACAATCTATAATAATATCTATTTGTTTATTTTATTTTTTTGTAGAAAAGAAACATAAAATTTCGATGTCGTCTTTGTGACATTATGTTAAAGAAAATATTTCATTACTGCTTATATAACAGAAATGTTACGTTCACAGATGTTTTTTTACAATAAATGTAAAATGCTTTATCTGGAGAGTCCAATAAATAGGTATGAATTTGAAAAAAAGTAAACTACTGCATACAACGACCAACTCTATTGATGACATGTTTCGTTTTGTTTAATAGTGATAGCCTCGATCTGAAATATGTATCACCCATAGACCATCTGGCCCATCGCTTCCACTATCGCTGTAGGCATCCATGTTGAATGTGATCGCCATGTGACGTCACGATTTCATGTGCACTACACTACACACATATCCGCCGGCTCTGATTGACTTTCCCGGGCGGGTGCAAACTGGGATGATTGACAGGCCATATCATCAGTCGGAGTGGATCAATTTTCACGTGGTTTTCGACATTTTCTTATTTAGATTATAACGTCTTTATTATTCAAATCTTATAGAACGATACACTAACAATTTAAGTCTAATAAGTCAGATTATGGCGGTTACATGTTATTAGTGTTTGTTGACTCTGTTAAGACTCCCGGTCCTGTTATTCACAAACTCAAAATTGGATTTTTTGAAAAAAAAAAAAATTAAGTTATAAATCTCTGACGTCAACAAATGTTTTACGGATATTGAACCGTTTTCCGTTACCAGGAAAAGCTGACGTTATCAGTAATAATTATAAGCTTTATGTATAGTGATTTACCAGAGCCATGATAAAACAAAAATACAGATAAAACAAAATCATTGAAATTGTTTTCGTTATCTATATATCCGACCTGTTTTATTTTATCCGAGTACCTTTTTGTTTCGATGTGAAGTAAGATATCGATCTAAGCTAAAGGATAAACCGTTTATAGTTACAAAGCACAAGATCTTTGATCCCTTTTCCCGTTCGATTAATCCTTAGAGTTCTGATGATGGGTCATGTGAAATGAGACATTTTATCTCAGATACACTCTTGATACACTCTTGTTTTGTATTGCTTTACGTAACAATCTGGGTCATTTAGAGCGAAGTAACATTCGAACATGAGTTACATTTAACTCAAACTACAAAGACAAATGAATTGAAACCTCCAATGAAACCGATGTCAAATGTATCATATAATATTTTCAGATATAAGTCTTTAGGACGTAAATAATCGAATTTGAACTACACAGAATATCACATCAAATAGTCTTTTCAGCGATTGTATGTAAAAGTAAACCAGCAGTCTATTTTGTGTCAGAATGCTTAATCATAATATATATGCAGGTACTTTCACCAAAACATGGCAGGTGTCCCCACTTTGGTAGAAAGCGTTTACAGTACCAACACACATGACGTGGATTTCCTATTCTTAATTTACGGGCCTTGTTGTGATACTGTTTACTAAAGAAATGGGAATTAATATAGTTTTTTTTAAGAACTGCAAAACCTTTTGACAAATCTTCAACATTTCCTTAAATAATTCTGTTGTCCGGATATCTTTTCGGGACTGTACACCACCGCACCTCATTCTCAACCAAAAAAAGAGAGAGAAATCCATGAAAGAATTATTCCAAGGCCAAGAGTATCTCCTGATAGGCGGAATCCTCTTGAAAGTCTCTCCGAAGACAAGGTTTTCCGGCGATACCGATTCCGTCCAGCAACGTCTTCGTTGTTGATTTATTTCACAACACTATCACTCGACAGAAGTTTCCCTATAAGACGTTGAAGGTCCATACTCGTCAAGGATGTACGAATTTTGGAGCATTACATACTTTGGGATGGTTCGGTCACGGTTTCGAATTTTATATGGTTTGTTATTATTATAATTATTGCATTCTTAACACATAAAAGATCATTAGGGCCATCAACCGGTAAAATACACAGCGATCCAAAAGGAAAATAACATCAAACAAACTGAAAAGTAACAGACAAATGCTAAAGATTTTAAATGGTTATATTATCACAAAATATTAAAATTGTAAGTCATAGTCTATAATATAGACTAGCATCTTTCAGATGACCTTTACGCTAAACCACGCATTGCATAAGTTGTGTTCGGACTTTCTGGCAACCCAGAACACCATCCCTTTTGATTGGCCTCTTCATAGTCCGCAGTGGTCTTTAATCAAACACTTGCTGGGGACTTGGACCGTACCGTGCTTCTCTACTGGCTGGGACCTTACTGTTCTTCTCTGCTGGCTGGGACCTTACCGTGCTGGCTGGGACCTTACTGTACTTCTCTGCTGGTTGCGACGTTACTGTGCTGGTTGGGACCTTACTGTGCTTCTGTGCTGGCTGGGACCTTACTGTGTTTCTGTGCTGGCTGGAACCTTACTGTTTTTCTCTGCTGGCTGGGACCTTACTGTGCTGGCTGGGACCTTACTGTGCTTCTCTGCTGGCTGGGACCTTACTGTGCTTCTGTGCTGGCTGGTACCTTACTGTTCTTCTCTGCTGGCTGGGACCTTACTGTTCTTTTCTTCTGGCTGGGACATTACTGTTTTTCTCTGCTGGCTGGTACCTTACTGTGCTTCTCTGCTGGCTGGGACCTTACCGTGCTTCTCTGCTGGCTGGGACCTTACTGTACTTCTCTGCTGGCTGACTTGTTTTTGTTTTCATTCGATGCTGAACTTATTAAAGTTCTTATCAAAACAGGTCACTTTCATGATGACTTCTTGTCAATAAAATCATCGTAAACCATTGGAATTCAAGGACACAATATATTTTTCTGCAGCAGCCGCATACCTTAATCTTTTCCTACAATTAAACTACCATGTCCACCTTCTATTAAACTTTATGATAAGCGTTGATTTGAATATTCTTATAGTGAATTCTGGATAGCGACATTTCTGAGTCCCCAAACTTTAGCGTTTACATGTTGCAGCCGAGTAGATTTTCTTGGGCTGATTCTCAGTATAACGATAGTCGGCAACTGACAGACAAACTCGCACAACACCATGCTTCGAGAGATGCAGTTTAGTCTAAAATATGGGGGAAAGGGTGGTGGTGGTGTTACTGTCGCCATCATATTTCTTTGTGTAATATGAAGCTTGTTTATATTGTGCCCTAATCTCATCGAGCTCATATTTGAACCATAATTTCAGTAACATGCCGGTATTTTCTTTTTTTGTTTTTCACTGGTCTCCATGTAGATAGTCTCTTCTTCTTGTTCTGTCCTGACTTATGGATGTTTACATCAAATCGGTATTTTTCTAACATGGTCTTATTTTCTGGAATATTTCATACCTTCGTGTAATTTACACTGAAATGTTCTTACAGTTTATTTAATTAGCATTCCTTAGATTTATCATGCAGTTTCTAATTCTTTAATACATGAAGACCAATTTACACGTATCATTGAAAATACATTAATTCTGCTTACTGATCTATGTACATGCGGAAATGTACACCAGGTACAAGGAAATACTGGTTGATCTGTGTAGCTGGATCAGATCGAATACTTGTCTATATGGAAAGGTATACGTGTAAATCTTTTGTTAATATTTTGCCCTAGTTATGATATAGCATTGAGTCTACTAGGAGTTTTTAATGGGACAATAAGGAAGGATTCTATGCTGAAACAAAACTGACTTAATTCTTTGAACAATTTCTATAATTTTGTACTTATGTGTCATGTACGAATCTGCGAATGAATGTAAGTTTAAAAATATTTTGACAGTGAATAAATTTTTCCACGATAATTTGTGGTTAATTGGAAATAAACATATGTATTTGTGACAACATTTAAAGATATTTATATATTTTGCAGACTTCCATGAACGGGTTGATCATCTCGTCATACGTGAAGATGCCAACAAGACAGAAGACATTACTCCCCAGATATATCAGGACCGACAAGCGTCATTATACAAGAATTGTGAAAATGTACCAAAAGTGAAAAGGATAGGCAGTGGTGAACCCAAATACTTCTTTGATAGGACAAACAGCATAGCATTTTGCAAAGCACCAAAATCAGGCAGTACCTTTGTAGGGACAATAGTTGCCGCTCTTATGCGGAATGCAGAACTCGGTAACATGTTCCACGTCAACAGAGAATATGTCCATAGTAAAAACGCAGTTAAGTTTTCCAATATTTTAGATAAGGAACTGAATTCTGTCAAGACTGTACTTGTCACACGGAATCCATACTCCAGACTATTTTCTGCTTTCATTGACAAGTACTTCATTTTAGCTCAATGGGGAAGTAATCTAGCACAACGAAAACGGAAAGGTCTTCTTAAAATGAGAAACGGTTACTGTGGATACAATGTGACTTTTGACGAGCTTTTGGATTCTATTTCGATGGGCGAAATCATTGAACGTCATACTATTCCGGTGTCAACCCTTTGTATGCCGTGTACTTTGCATTATGACATTGTCTGTAGACAGGAAACGTTGACTACTGATATAGAACACGTACTCAATATCATCAACATCACCGAATCAAAACGAAGCGCCATTATTGACATGATACATGGGAGGAGTTTAAATGATACCATTTACAGCTGGATTTCATCACAGCTGAGTTACTTTGCCTATTCGAAAAAAGATTGTTCGGATATTGTGCTTTACATGGAAAAACTTTGGTGGGCTTTACAATTTCAAGGATATATAAGTTTGTCTTGGTCATTTCCGGCTGATGAATTCAAGGTAAGCAATATGTTTGATTACAATGCTTTAGTCATGTATTATATCAAACACAAAGTGTTCCAAAGACAATACTATTTAAAGTTGGAATATTGTAAAATATCTTAGAATATTGTTTTTTTTTCATGTCAATCAGCTATTCATAAAATAAATCGAAAATCAGTTTTCTGTTTGGTTACGTTTTATAATGTTTATCAACAGTTATGGTCGTTTTATGCCTTCTTTGAAGCTGCATGCTTGTGGCGAGTGTGTTTTGGGATACTGCGGTATATTCACTTTTGGTTTCTAGTGATAGCCTACCGACTTTATAGTGCTTTATAGTTTTGAATAAAAAAGAGAAGCTCCCAACTGGACACCCCACTGGTCATTTGATACATGTAATAGGCGAACAAGTCGTCCGACTCCCAAAATGCTGAGCTTTAAGCAAGGGTAGCAACGACAAGATCCTGGTCTCTCTCGGTCAGTGGACAGAACCGAACTTTTTCTTCACTTTGGCTAGCACTCAAAGAACAATAGTGAGGAAGTATCAAAGAGATTACAAATGAGGAAAAACGTAAAGGAAGGATATGATGCTAAAGGCTTAAATTTTAAGTCTAGGAGGCGGTTGAGGAAAATCCAAAGTGATTGAAAGAAAAGTCAAATTCTCGTCGGGGAGGTGTATTAGCCCAATAATTGAATAAATATCGTTGTTTTCAGATATTAGACAATTTCAGAACAGCGTCAAGTACATGTGTAAATTAGAATAAAACCTCAAACAGTTATTTAAAATGGCATCTTCTGGTTGTCAAGCGTAATGTTAATCTGACATTAGTAAATGTCTAATATCTTTTATATCATATATTTCAAAACTTTTTAAAACTTTGTTTTTTGTAATCAAAGAGAAATTGAATAGTTTCCCGTTACAAATCATATTTATTTTTGTCGTATGAAATTAATTATATGTATAGTCTTCTCGAATACAAGATATTTTGTTAAGTCGTGAAATTAAACGGGAAACAAAAATATTTAAATTGTTTGGGAAGGTCTCTTATATTATCTACTATGTTAGATACATGAAATCATGCATATTTTACCATGCATTTATTACCTACAAAATGATGCAAAGTACTCCTTAAACAGTTTCGTTTTAACATAATATCCGCTGGTGCCGCCACAAAATTTACATTAAGGGTTTAACTTAATAGAATCTGATCTTAACTTTTCTTAACGAAAATTATAGAATATGATATATATTTCAGTGGTCTGTTGTGGAGTGGCTATCTCGGGGGATAGTGTGACATCAAGTTGAACTTGTTTGAGGCTTGATAGTATTCCTGGTGGTTTGTTTTCTTGGCTTCACAGAGTTATGAAATAGGTTACAAAGTTACAGTCCCAGACAGAAATTAATGCCCTTACTTTAAGTAAACATATACTCCATTCCATTGTCTAGGAATTCTAAGTCACAGGGTTTTACCTACATCCTTTGTGTATGTGTGTGAAGGCACATAAATACCCAATTAAGTGTCATCTACGACATATGAAGAACAAAAAGTAAAGATTTTCCCCAACATCATTGATGCGTTCTGTACTGTGTGTTTATGTGTGTGAGTGTGTGTATTTTTCTGATATGTTTTACGTATTATATTCATCACCGTGTAAATTTGTCGAAGTTCTCCTCTATAAGTATTTTCATACAAATCCATATGACTTAAAATTATTATTGCGGAAAAGTATATAATTGTTTTCTTTCATTTTCATAGAAACTGAACGAGTTGAAAGCAGAAAGCTTGACGAGTCTCATAGTGAAATTAATCAACTCTGCACCACTTTCAAAATCAGAAATGAAGACCCAAAGACTACGCGTGTTGAGAGAAGCCTATAGCCGTGTACAGCCTTCTACAATAGCCAAGCTTCAGGCTGCGTTTGCCCAGGACTTCCATCTCTTTGGTTATGACACATCTGTGCCTCTATAGCTAAAGATAGGACGACAATATGAGGAAGAGATACTGCTGTCTTATATCACCTATATATTACGCAACGACAAAGTTTATTGGATAATGGTTTAAAATTGAAAAAAATGTATCTTTAGGTCTTAAATGAAACATTTTTCACAGTATAATATTTATATAGTAGTTTTTAAAACGGATGAATAAATAATATTATCATGGATTAAAAAAAACGAAATAGGGGAAACTCACCGAGTTTGATTGTTAGTTTTTTTTTATTCTTGTCAATCCAAAGTAATTGTTATAATGATACATTATATGTTGAATTATTTAAAGAAAAACCCTCTTGTTCCCGACGTGGAACTTCATTTCCAGCGGAGGAATGACAATAGAGCACGCAAATAGAAAGGCGGCGAATCGCCACTGGCATTAGATGTGGTGAATACAAAAACCTGTTTTTCTTGATGAATAATAGTTATATTGAATGCTAAAATGATGTTTAAACAGGAATAGAGAAATATACTTGTTAGACTGAGTTAAAAAATAGTCCAACATTTTAGATCAGAGGATAATCAAATAGTATTACTCATGTGAAATATGATTTTGCGACACGTTAAACAATACAACACGAATTTTTTAAATTGTAATGATTTATTTTGTCAATATATTTTAGAAAATATGAAAAAATCCGACAGCGACGAGGAAGAATAAAGTCTATGCCGAGTTCTACGGTTCGTCTCCCCCTCCCGCCCTGCCATTCCCTCTCTTCTAACTGGGTGGCAGCCATTTTTAATTTTTAAATGATCATGGAGTGTAAACATTTGCAGTAGCCGATGAATCCATGGGAACAAGAACCTAGTTTTGTATCAAAATCGCTGAGTGGACGCTCTTAGTCGTGTTGGAGATCTTCATTTTTAGACAGTGGAAGGTTAAAAACATTGTAGCAGACGACAGCATTTGCGAGGTCTCAAGCAGATATCATCTGTTTGATAACAAATCTGTTCTGCTAGAAATCTGAGGTTCTCCCCACTACAGAATTTCTTAAGGATCTATTCATACGCCCAAACCAATGTTAATTTGATCAAATTCATGGACAAATGAAACAGACTAGATTTGGTAGTTTCATTGAGTCCTACTTGAGTAGAAATATTGAATTGTGTTGATGTTTACTTAAGTTATCCTGTTCATAAGATCAAATAGTAATAAGGAGGGAAAGGGCAATAACTCTCCTAATTACAAAACATTTCCATTGATAAACCTGTTCGAGATCTTAAAAATATAAGGCTGCATACAACATTTTATCACAATCTGTTCATTTTGGATGAATCGACCCCACTGTCACCTCATTTGGGATGTAAGGCTGTACACAAAGTTTCACGAAAATATGTTCATATTTACAAGAATTATCTTCATATTTGTCCACTTGATATTAAATTATAAAGGACCATAACTCTGCAAATTACAACTTAATCGGTCCCATTAACAATCCCCTACGAGACCTTATAAATAATAGACTGTATACCACGCTTAATTAAATTATGTTTATATCTACTGGTGTTAGCATGTTCACAAGAGCCAATAGTAATAAATCTGCCAAGAGGCGTGGATCTTGAAATAACATGTGAATCAGTCCTATTGTCGAACTCGTCTGCATTCTTATTATTATATGATTGGATACGATTAATAAACATCGTGCTCACAAGGTTCAGGGCAATAAAATGTTAAGGGCAATAACTCTTTTAAGTACAATAGAATCAATCTCATTAAAATAGTATTAGCATATATTTGGATAGCAAGTTCCATTTAAGTCTGTTCATTTTCACATAAGTTACAATGTGCATAGTAATAAGACTGCGAAGGGCTGTGGTCCAGTAAATTGCAATCGAATCAATTCTATTGCTGATCTGATGTAGAAAAACATCAAGAAAATACAAACATGGCAATATAATTATAATTCAGACTTTCAAATTCCATAAAACTAAGCAAAATATGAATAAAAGAAAGAGTTGCACGGAGACTCCTGAAAAAGTACAAGGAGAATATGACCAGGTGTTCTGGAAGAATAAACTTCTGTTTCATCGACGACATGTGAACCTTGGCCAGTCTAAGTACGTAGTGTCACGTTCTCAAATGAGAACAAGGTGTACAACAATGGAACCAACAGGTAAAATAAAGAACATTATGTCACACAAAGGAATAGAATATTTCTCAGTGAGATCACTATGGCGACCATAAAACTTTTCCAAAATTTTCACCAACCTGCAATTTTTGAACCCTTGTTTGACGAGTTTGCCAGTCAGTTGACGACTTCTTGCACAACAATCGTGATAATGGTAACAGACCCTTGAATATCGAATCAACTGTGACATGCAAATATCATAGGGTGGAAATGCAGGGATATTGCTATCCACAAATGGAAAATTCACAATAGGGAAATTGAAACCATCAGGGTTATCATACGTCTTGATGGAAAGCTGCCCAAGTTGGTTTCGTTTAGGAAAAGATAGAGATAAGCAGCTGATGTAGAAGAGTCTGTCTTTGATTTCCAGTTCTGGTGTATATATACGATGGACATAGCCAATAAATTTCTTGCTAAGACAAGACGTCATCAATAAATCTGAAGGTGAAATTAAACGACTTGGCAAGGTCTTTGTGACTTGTTTTGTTAACCTCTTCAATAAATTCAACCTCGTATGAAAACAAAAACAAGTTATCCAACAGAGGGGAACAATTGGTTCCAATATGTATATCAATAATCTGTTGGCAGATCTTACCACCAAACTCGATGAAGATGTTGTCAACCATGATTTCATTTACCGTATCTTTCGTTTTTGATTTGGACTTAAATTTAACGCTTCAGTATAGTTCACAACCATATATCTATACGGTCGTTCATAACACGAGAATGGAGGAGCTACTTCAGCTTATAATAGAGTACGGTGGTGTATAGGGTAGACAAACCAAATGTTCTTATAGAAGAAATGATTTTTGAAGAAGTTTTTGAAGATTGATCAAAAGCTCTTTTAATTTCTTCAAAATCCACATTCCTTTGGTTCCACTTCTGGAGTAAACAGTATCACAATAAGACTGTAACCCACATTTGATAGTGGTTAGAAGGGTGGTTAGTAGTTTACACAAAGGCTTAGTTGAACAGTTAGTCGATCCTGCTATTAAACGTTGTTTATATGGATTGTTGTGAAGTCTATGGGTCCAACATAAATCGGGAGGTCCGTAAGAGAAAAAGAATCACATTCAAATCATTGGCAAGAAAGAGATGTAAAATGGGACAACTTTCACATGTACATATTTTTGAAAAGAAGTTAGCTAGTTCGTAAAATCTGATTACATTATAATCCGTTTGATGTAGAATATTTGAAGACAGATCTTAATATAATAATAAAAAGAAATTAAAAACACAACAATACAAAACCATTTTATTTAAAGACGTTTTACAATTGATTATGTAAAATGCCTTTACTGTAGAATTGAACTACATTTGAATTATATATGACAGGATATCAATCTAAAATATTTTAACCGCTGTTTTCCACTTATGTCCAAACAACAAAATCATACCAAGTGCAACATATCACAATGATTTGTCATGAACATTAGCAAAATCTTTGCAATCCTTCCCTAACTTTGCCTCGAGACAAAATAGTTCGTCCGATCACCCCTATTCATGACTCATCCTGAACAATCCACAGTATTGGCAATTCAAAATGATCAATAATGATATTCCTTGATATTTCTATAAAGGAATAAGCTAGGTAGAGGGTCAGGCAACATTTAAAGATGTAACATAACTTTGAAGTTTGAAGTAATCTTGCAAAACATCTGCTTCATAATTAATACTCTACTAAATTTGTTTGAATGGAGTGCTTTATCCGAATTTTACAAATTAACTACGTATAAATATAATATATTAATAACCTGTTCTCCCTGTATATGATTTAATACAACTACATTGGGTTGTTTTGTTATATGTCGAACCACCTTGAAGAGAAACGAAGTAAAGGCCGAGTTTAATGTTCCATTAGAGCATTGTGTATTGTGACGCCATAATGAGATATCCAATGAGACATTATTATTTGAAATTAAAATAATGTGATACAACCATACAACTATAGTCATAAACACTTGTTTTGACATTTTCAATATTTTGTATTCTTAATATAAAATAATTATGACAAAAATGGGAAATATGCAGACTTACCGAGCTGGAAGAAATCGTGAAATTTAGAATATTCATTTAATTATTTCATCATTGATTATCGTTATAAATAGTATTCATATATAATGTAGTCGATCGAAATTAAGGGTGCTAGACAAGATCTTAACACTTCCCTAATGATGTAGCTTTCTATTCGTCCTTTGTATAGAGGTCCTCTTATTTCTTCCTTTTGTTTGGCTTATGTTTGTTTCACGCCGTAAACACTCTACACAATGTCAATTGGTGTTAACAGAAGTACTGGAAATACATAATCAGCTAATTGAAACCTTTTATATTGGTCATTGTCACCTTTTTATGATAACAATCCTATTTTAAATATTTCGTTGTCAAAATCAATTTTACATTGTTAAAAAACAAAGTAATACCATCATGTGAACATAATGTTAATCCAAACTAATTTTGATCTGCATTAACCTGCATTATTTGAATCCCTGTGTTATGAGTTTGTCAGTCAGTAGACGATATCTTGCACTAACATCATGATATTAAGAACAGGCCTTTAAATATCGAAGCAACTGTGAGACGCACATTTGTAAATACTTTAGGTTGGTGGCCCAGCTATCCAGAAATGGTAAATTCACAATAGTGCAATTGAAATCATCGTGCTTCTCACACAGCTTGGTGGAAAACTATCGATATTGGTTTCGTTGTATTAAAAGATCAAAAAAAGCAACTGATGTAGAAGAATCTATCCTTGATTTCCAATTCTGTACAATGGCAATGGTCAATAATTACCTTTTCTAAGGACGTCATCATAATATCTGAAATTGGATCTAAAGGACTTTGCAAGATC